AGACTTGCTGCCGCCGTTGCTGCTCCTGCCAGTACAGGGGTGGGTGGCGGCATGACATGGACACGCAGAAAAACCAACGCAAAGCTGGGAGCGCGCTTGCCGAGGCCTGCACGTCCCAGCAGCGCGGGGTTTGAGGGGCTTGGCTTTTGCCGTCGCTCTTCCCCCTCCTGGCTGGGAACCTCATTCCCCGTCACATGAGCGAGTGGGATCCGTCTACAAAGGCGTTTCTGCTGGGAGATGGGCGCCAGGCCACACAATCAACAGGCCCTGTGCCAAGAGCAGCAAGCCCAGGCCCCGCGCAAGCCATTCCCTTCCACCTCCACCAGCCAGGCACCTCCGCAGCCGCCCTCCTCCGGACCCCCTTAGCTCAGGGGTCCCACCTGCTATTCGCCCCTGGCTGTGGCAGTGGGAAATCAGGCCCCAGGCCGGGTTTCTCCTTGGAAGAGGGTTTTCCAGGCAGCCACCCAAGTCACCCCCAGCACATGGGTGTGGAAAATGCTCCAGAAAATCCTTTATCAGCTCCGGAAATCCTCTAACGAGCGTTAACGATCTCCGAAGCGGCACAGCCGTTCCCCCCCGGGTGTGACTGTATGCAGATCAGCGACAGATCCACGTATCGGGAATGAAGAGACCTGTCCAGCGTGCCAGCACCAAACGGCTGCCCCGCTGAAATCTGCTGCCAGGCGGCCTGTGCCATTCCAGCCCGGAAGCAGCCACCCAGGCAGGCCGGCTCGCCTCCCACACGGATCCCCTCCCCCACCAGCGCATGTCCTGGGGGTGTCGCTGTCCCCGGTCACTCACAGAGCCCACGGCCTCGGTCCAGCACCCGGCAAGTCTGAAACGCCGGCAGGGCTGTGAGATCGAGGCAGAATCGCCCAGGCCTCGCCGGCGAATGCCACTGTTCCGTTTGCGAGGCCGACCCGACCGTTGCGCTCCGCCGCTGATCGGCCAGTCTCCGCACCACGGACCCCCTCTTCTTGCTGCTGGGCGCTCTGACGTGGCATCTTTCCTTTCCCACACTGCGGAGCCGGTGACCCCAGGCGCAGGTGGGGGGAAGTGACAGATCTGTCTCCTTGCTCGAGGGGAGCTTCTGTTTTAGCCGGGCGCTCTTCCCCCGCCATTCAGCATGGCGGGCACAGCCTGGGTGTGCGCCTCACCACTTTCTAGCGGCTCCACCTCCACCTGCGTGGCCAAGGGGTTCTCCGAAGGCTGGAAGAGCCGGGGCTGTGGGAAGAGCTCTCTCGACTGGGTCTGCGATCCGCTGCCTGAGCAAGCCAGTGACACCGTATGGCTTTTTATGGCTCAGATCCGGGCTGTAGTGAGAAGTGTGTCCTCATACGTGGCCATAACGGGCCATTGCCTGCACAGTCCCATGATCCTGCACGGCCCGTGTGACATCTCACGCAATGCGAACACCCCCAGGGGTCAAAGCGTCGAGCAGTGTGGAGTGGAGGGGACGCCTGCTTCCCCGGCTGCCCTGCACCTCCCCATGCCTGTGGGTGACACTTGGTGGCTCTTGGTTTTCACTGATTTCAGTCACTGGGTTTTCGACGCTGCTTTTCCACCCCTGCAAAGCCGATAAGACGTGTCCGGGGTGCAATTCCATTGCTGTGATTGTCTCTTCTTTTGGAGAGCGTCCGCCCCCAACCCCAGCTCTCACACGCCACGCCCGGCATGTTGGAGAGGGCGTGCCACTCCGGAGCGGGGGGCCCGAGCCAAGCGCCGAGGTCTGCTCCGTAGGGAGCTGGGGCCGAACTCACAGGCCACGGCGTCCTCTCTGTTCCGCAGCCGCAGCGCCGCTTCCTTCCCTGGGCTTGCACGAGATGCGCCCGACACCCACGAGCAGGGCACCCTCTTGCCCAGCCGTTTTCAAACTCGCTTTCTCACCACCCTGCTGAAGATTATTGCTGCCGCCACCCAGAGTAGGTTGCCTGGAGGCTGGGCTCCGGGGTGGGGCTGGGGATGAGCTTTGGGCCACAGCTTTCGGCTCCAGCAGCCTTTTGACCTCCAGCAGCTCCTAGTCAGCGATGCAGCCGGGGGGAAGAGGGAAGGCAGCTTCCTGCCTCTCCTGGCACCCAAGACCATGCTGCGCCCCAGAAGCAGCTGGCAGCAAGTTCCCAGCCCATGGGAGTGCAGAGCTAGTGCTGTGGGCAGGGCAGTGCATGGAGCCTTGTGTGTGCCCCTCCTCCCCTAGGAGCCGGGCCTGCTGCTGGCCACTTCTGGGGCGCAGCACAGTCTGCGGGGCAGGACAGGCAGGGAGCTGCCTCAGCCCCCCACAGCTCACCTGACCCCCTGCAGCAAGGAGCCCCAGCGCCTGACACCCCACGGCCCAGTAGGTCACTCACCCACATGCAGGCAGCATGGGCTGTGCATGATTTTCCACCAAGCCGACGTCTGGCCTCCCGGGAAACATTTCCGCAGAGCCAAAGTGGCAAACTTGCCTGATGTGCTCTCAGGGTGATTCTGTTCCCCTGTCCAGACCCGCCTGGTCTCTTTCTGACCCCGGCTTTGGATTCATTTCCCAGGAATCTTCGCCCTTTCTTCTTTCCTTCCTCTAGCTCTCCACCTTCTCCGTTTCGACATCTCCGCTCTGGGCCTGCCTTTCATCGCAGGCTCTTGCCTCGCCCCAGGGGTGCTGCGGCGGCCGGGCGATGCACAAAGACTTGCTTGTGTCTCCACGGCTGCGTGCTCCTAATTGCACCTCATCCTGGCAGGAGCGCCGGAGTTATTAGGCGCTGCTGCGAGTTTCTCCCATGCTTGAATTGGCTCACTTAATAGGTTGAGGACTAATTGTCGGGAAGCAGGAGGCTGCCGCTAACAGCGAGTGCTTGATGCAGACTACACGGCCCCCTTCTGAGATTATCCAGTGGCTTCTGATCAGGGTTCACCCGGAGTTTGAAACCCCCTCTGAAAGAGGGCCCCGGGGCACTGGGTTCCCAGGGGATCGCTGCATACGGGCGTGCGTCCCTATCGAGCAAGGCCAGGCACTGGGCAGCTATTGGCCGGCTGCTTGTAGATGGGAAGCATCGTGGAGTACTGGGGGAGTTTTAATACAAGAGCCATCCCGGGGAAAGGGCAAGGAGACAGACCAAGCCCCCTTGGAGCTGGGGGGCGGGCATCGGCCCCAGGCCTGGTGAGGGGCGCTCTGGGGGCTTCCCATAGGAGGAGAGGTGCCACCAGAGTTTGGAGCAATGGGGATAAGGGCCCCCATGAAGAGACAGATGAGCAGCCACCCCTAAACACAGCGTTCCGCAATCACCCCGTGTTCAGCACCATGCTCGGCAGGTGATGCAGGCAAGGGAAGGCACGGCCTTCCCACAATTGCCCACACGCTCCGGCCGCCAGGGAAGGATGGGGTTGTGGCTGTAGGACACCAGCATCGGCCCTCCAGGGGACCAGGAAGGATCAGATGGGTGGTGGGCGGGGCTTTGCTCCAGGGCCTCAGGCAGAAGGGGCGGGGCTGGAGCTGGCTTTCACCCGCCGCCCGTGTTCAGGACATCCAGAAAGCTGGGTCACCCCTGTGGTGTGGCCTTCCGAAAGCAGCCGCTGTTGCCTCCGCACGAGCAAAGGGACCTAGTGCCTGGTGGGACTGGCCAGTGGCTGCAGAGCCCTTCAATACAGAACATTTCTCCTCCCCGTCCCGGCCATCGGGAGCCAGTGACCAGTCCGGGGCCTCGGCAGGGGGCAGCCCTGGCTCTCTGTAGGGGCGGATGATGGGGGCAGGGGGCAAAGAGGAGCAAGCAGAGGAGGGGGCCGTGGGGAAAGGGATGCCCAGGGGTCAGGGTTTTGATGCCGGCAGGCCCCCTGTCTCCTGACTTTTAGGGAGCTCCTGGTTCAAACAGTTTTGGTGCCGGCAAACTAAACGGGACGTCCAATCCACCGGAGCTGGAAAGGGCCCGGCCGGCCCTCGCTAAGGGCAGCGCTAAGGCCAGCAGCTGGCACCAGTGGCGTGGATGGAAAGGGACTAGATGGGCGAGGGACTGTATTTACTGGGCCCACTGCAGACGGGGAGGGAGAGGCAGCAGGGAGTGGAGGCCGCAGCCACCAGTCATCACCCTGGATCCCTCCCCACTAGCCTCCACACAGCCAGGAGACCCAGCGGCCCAGCCCCCGGCCACCCACCCCCCGGGCTCCCGGCTGGAGCCGAGAGCTGGGCTGGGTGCTCCCGAGAGTCTGGATGGGCAAGGCCAGTGCTGAGCAGCCAGTGCAGAACACAAAGGGGAGCCGCCGGGCAGCTTGCGGGGCCCCCTCGGCTCCCCTCCCCAGTCAGGCGCGGAGAGCTCCAGCAGCCCCTTTCTCCAGGTCATGGAGCCGAGCAGGTGCCGGGAGGGGACCCTCAGCCTCCCGGCGCAGCCAGCAGCCGCCCTGCAACGCTCCACGCAGGGTTGGGGCTCATCTCTCCTGGGTCATGTTTCTCGTTCGACCCTCTGCAGCTGAGCGTTCACGTCCCGCTTGCCCCAAAGCCTGCAGCTTGAGACCCGGTCCTCTGCTTCCTACCTGCATGTCACAGCACAGGGCGATGGCCCCTGGGTTTCCTCTCAGAGGGACCTGCCACTGTGATGCGAGGGGGGCCGAGGAGCCGTGACTTCCAACAAACACTGGTGGGAACCATGCGGCAGCCCGAGCGGTTAGTGGGGGGGCCTGGTGCTGGTCGTGTTGAGGGGGAGTGGAGCAGCACAGCTTCAAACCCCATGTTTTCCCCCATGGTGTGGGGAGAAGTCATGTGGGGGTGGTCACATGGCCATTGCCCTTCCCCCCGCCCCCATGTCTCTCCACCTGTCACCTCCCACCCCTCTCGGGGTTCAGCTGAGTGTTCCTTTCAAGGAGGTCCCTCTCCTCCCACCAAGGGCCGTAGGAGATCTCATCTGTCCTCTCCCTTGGGCGTCCTCTCCATCCCAGCCTAAGGGTCTGTGTATTGTTTGGCCCATTTCCCAACTGGTCACCTCATGTCGGCTTTTGTAGAGAAACCAGGATTTGGGGGGGGGGAACCATTTATAGACTTGCTCCTGCATCCGTTGACCTGGAGGTTTGATCCACCATGGGAGCCACCAAACCAGACATGGGGAGGAGCAGGTGCCGGGAGGGGGGTGGGAGGGACCCTCAGAAGGGGATTGCTGCAGGCTTCAGCGTGACCCGCCCTCAGCCTCCCGGTGCCGTGCTAGTGGCTGGGGGGGGGCAGCTCAGGCAGGGCAGGCGAGGGGGCTGCTGCTCCAGGCTCATCCCAGTGCGCCGAGCTCTGGCTGTGTCCCTGCTTCACTGCCAGAGCAGCAGAGCGAAAGAAGGACCCTCCCCAAACATGGCTTCCATTGCGCTGCAAACTCCCATTGGGGGACTGGCAGCGCCCCAGGGTGGCCGCCTCTCCTTCCCTCGGTCCCACTTGTCCACGAGAGACTCTCCCTGGGCGGTGGGGCAGGTTCCCAGCAGGGCCCCCCCCCCCGGGCTGTTCCACACAGACGCTGATTCCTCAGCAGGGTGGCAGTTGCACTTGTTCATTCTAGGGCTTTTCCCCACAACAGCTTGGAAGGAGCTGTTGGTCTTTCACACAAACCAATGCTGCCCTGAGCAGCCAGCCCTTTTACAGTTGTGTGGCCGCTCTCCAGCTGGGGAGCCATCTTAGCGCCTCTTCCCTTACCCTGTGATGGTTCTGAGGCTGGCCGAGTCTCCCAAACGCATCGGTGAATTCATCAGTGAATCTCACAGAGGTGACGTTCACTCTTTCAGATCCTGGAACCTCCTTCCAACCTTTTGGATTTCTGCATAGCTACAAAGGTCTAGAAGACCAATGTGGTAATAAAAAAAAGGGGTTCCACAAATAGATTGGGCTACTTTGGGGCTACTGGTTTTTGTTAAGTGACTGTGGAGTATTGATTCCGTAGAAATCTGGCAAGTCTGTTTTTGCTGATTTCTAAGTTATTGCCTACAAAAAACCTGCCAAAACAACAACAAACTCCCCCCCCAAAACCCCAAAAACAGGAGTTTTCAGGTGCCTAAGTAACCCCTGGAATGGAATCATGGTTACAGCTAACCCTCCCCCCCACACACACACACACATCAATATCTGACATGGTGCCCCTGGTTGTCGTGCGATGGCGAATCCACCAGCCCCGGGTATGATGTTCCAGTCGCTAAGCACTGTGGCTGTTAAAGACTTGCTCCGAAGGCCTGACGATCTCTCCGAAGCAGCCGTCTCAACGTCGAACGTGCTTCTTGAGTCAAGGGCCTCACTGTTAGTCATCACACAGACGACTGGGAGGCGAGGAAGTTGTTTTCATGGGGGTCCAGCTGGATCTGCAAGCGACTGTTTGGAGGACGAGAGATCTTCCTGGGCTTCCGGTGTCAAGTGTGAAACGCAGCTCTGGAGAGCCGGAGCGGCGAACGCAGCAGGAGAAAGGAGGCGTCCTACTCCTGTACTCAGATTGCCCAATGTGCCAGTGAAGAACATGGAGCCGGAAGCAGGAAATGGGAGGAATCCCCAAACAAAAGGAGGAAATTGGAGAAGAATGGCTAATCTGGGAGCGGTAACGTCTCATTAGCAAGGCGCATGGAGACAGCAGCGTTGGTTGCCGCGGGAACAATGGGGAACGTTTGTGCAGCCCATTGGAGAGGGGTCAGAGATATCTGCGGGTGTCTGCGATCGGCACGTCAGCACAAACCAGGCCTCCAGCCAGTATAGAGCTACGAGGGCCTGCCAGCTACCTCAGCTGGGGCCTGAGGAGAGCTGGCCCATTGGCGGCCCACGAGCTCGTCCTTTCTCCTGGAAAAGACACTTTCAGAAGAAGTTGATTTTTTCCAATGGGGTTTAATGGGGAACAGGATACATTGGTACCAAAACCTGGACATTTTTGGTTCAAAATGGAGGGGGAATGACATTATACAAGCACTGTATCCTGGTTCTGGACAAACTATGCAGCCCTTTAAAGACTAACAAGATGGTTTATTAGATGATGAGCTTTCGTGGGCCAGACCCACTTCCTCAGATCAAATAGTGGAAGAGAATTGGCACGACCATATCTACACCAAAGGGATACAATAAAAAAAAAGTGAACACACATAAAATAGACAAATCAGACTTTAGAACAGAGCGGGGGTGAGGGGGGAAGGTTAGTGTCTGTGAGGTAATGACATTAGGGGTGATAATTGGGGAAGTTAGCTTTGTTTCCGCTAGACCAGACTAACACGGCTGCATCGCTATCACTGGTTCTGGACGGGTTCTGTGCTGGAGCTGAAGGGTTTTCTTGCACGCCCAGGGCAGACTGGATTCAGCTGGCTAAGGGCTCAGGCAACACAGGTACATTGTGGCAGGGCGCTGTGCTTGGTGCCTGAGGTGCCTTGGGTTTGGAAGGGTCGAAGGCCTTCCTTGCACCTGCAGGGAGCCTGAGGCGCTCCTGAGGTAATCAGGTTCTCAGCGGGTCGCTGTGATAAGCAAGCAGCAGAAAGGCTGGGCCCGAGAGCAGGAAGGGGACTCCACATAACTGCTGCTCCCTGGAGCAGAAACAGCCCTAAAGACACAGATGTGATAGAAAGTGCCTCTCGGGATGGCTGTGATTTCTGGGGCCAACCCCAGCCCTCCCAGGCATGTTTATTTGCTCCTCTACACAAAGGGAGATCTTATCTCTCCCGCCGGGAGCCAGCGGGTTAATCCATCAGTTGTCTTCCAAAGGATCGCTTCTTAGGGAAACAAAGGCAGGGCCTGGCTACCCGCCCAATCAGCCAGCAAACGGCTTCGCTGGCTCTCTGGCGAGCCAGACTCCTCCTCACATGACCTCCCCGACCGCTGGGCCCGGCCCAGCTGCCGGCAGCAGATGTGTTTGGGGCATGAAACCACAAGCCAGCCACCTCGGAGATGTAAGCACTGCTGTGGCAAACCTCTGGATAAGAGGCGCCGCTCCCCGGGAAGGGGCAGGGGTTAACACAACATGCTGGGCCTGGGGAGGAGGGGAGCTGGAGGATCAAAGGCATTGCCCGGTGGCCAGTCCTGCCGGAAAATGTCCCGCCGCCAGGGCGAGCCACGAGGCAGGCCCGCAGCTCAGGGGGTGCACACGCCACGCTGCACAGCAGACAGGCCCAGCGTGTGGCTTAGCCAAGTCCCCTCGGTCTTCGTTCAGCCCTGGCGCGAGCTGTGCCCCCCATCATGAGTCTGGCCACGCAAACCAGGAGATCGAAAGCCTGGCGGGTTCCTTGCATCTCCTTTCCAGGCCCTCCGTCGTGCAGGCCAGGAGCTCGCTGTTTAGCCTCCAGGAACGCCGGGGTTCTCAGCTAATCACGCACACCCGCCACCATGCCTCCCCAGGCGAGCGCCCTATCCCCTAGGACTCGCCGGAACCCGCCCCACCTTCAGGGCGCCCGTTATCCCGCCCTGGGGCTTGCAAAG